TCATTTGCAGCATCACGATCAATTCTACTTTGAGGAGGCAGCTCTTACCGAGTCACATTTTGAGAGCCTTCCAACCTGAGGGGCTCACTTTCCAGCACTATATCTGACAGTGTTTCTCTGCTATTCATAAGATTTTCAGTGACTAAATATTCTGAAGTAGTTTGTCTCTCCTTCTTCTTAGTCTGTCTTTGTCTGTAAGCTCATCTGAAACCTGTCCACTCTGAGTGACCCTGCTGGTATTTAAAATACCTGTGGCATAGCTTCACAGCAACTCACAAGCCACCACAGTATGACAAACTGACAGATAAATGGTGGTCCTTTGTAATAGAATTTTTAAAAACCTTTTACAATGTAATATAATGGTGGTCCATTGGTAACAGTTTTTTAATGGAACGCAGGCTTGAACAAGTTAATCAAAATATATCCTTCCCATACAACTACACCAGGAATGGCATGATTTGTGCTTCTGATGGGTACTGTAAAAAACTGAGCAACAATCATCTCTCCCACAGCACTCTATTTATTTGGATTCAATTATCCATTGCAAAGCCCACACAGAACTCAGACTCCATACTCACAGTTATAGTTTATTAAGACAGTTACTAGGTTGCAACAAAGGATCAGAAAATGCTCAGGGCACACTTCTGTCAGGCTAGTCTCTCCTCTGCTGTGCCCATAATCAGACCTCTCTCTGACTGTTGATCTCTTGGACTGTCCTCTGCCCTACTGTGGCAATGTTACAAAGCACTTTTAAGGCTGCTGATAAATGTTCAGTGCATAATACCCCATCATAAGCTTCAGCCTGAAGGTGCTCAGCTCCAGCTCATGAGTCAGCAAACCTCGCTCCCCCAATGAAGCGTCTGGAGACACCTCACTATACAAGAAAGCCTCCTACCCAAAATTACTCAAGTTTACTTGCTCCATGGGCAGGGAAGCCCACCCTCTATCTCATGCTTTTTATCTTGGTTTTGCTGCTGCTGCTGCGCTGGCACTCTCCTGTCAGAGCTCTAGGTTGAGGAAGTTCAATGTGCCGCGTTCTTGGGAGCCAAAGGATGGGCTCCACTCCTGGTTCTTAAATCTTGATGATAGTGAGATCTACTCCCCCACCCCACCCCCTACCCCATCTGCCACTTCTGAGATGACTCACTTACACCCATGTTAGACTTCCACATTTTCACAAGTAATTGCTCACGACTGAATGATATATAATCCATCAGTATCTTCCTTCACCTTCTCTTACCCAGACCCATCAGGAAAAAGTTGTTCGGTGGGAGTTTACTAAGATTATGGCTATAAGAGGCATTAAATAATTCACTGCACTTTGGTAAGCATTTTTATGTGAAAATTGGATTACCCTCCAAAGAAGGTTTCAAAACCAAATGCTGAACCTTCTGTTTAGGCATTACCTTGTTTAGATGGGTGGAAAATAATGGCTCAAGGCACCCTGGGTCTTCTAGGAATTCTTTTGGACATTCATTCTTATGATGAAAGCAAACACTGTACTAATTACTTAAATATCCTTATCAGGAATCACAGAAAGAATCAAAGATGTCTATGGATATAACAACCCAATAGAAAAATATACCAGTCTTGGAACACAGATTTTTTTCTTAGATCATTTTTCATCTTTGTTGGAGTAACCTAATGAGAAAAGGTCATGAAAAATCTATTAGTCACTATTGAACAGCCAGATAATGACATTGCAGATAATGTTATAGCACAGCAGGAATCCTTGGTGTCTTTAGCCAAAGTAATCTGGAACAACAGGAAAGTTCTAGACTTCCTATTAGCACAGCAAGGTGTGTCAGAGTATGTACCATTGTTAATAACTCTGTTGTGCCTGGATAAATACCACTGGAAAAGGAGAAAAAGGCCTAAGAAAAATCTGACTGAAGTCTACCTAAGTTCGTATTGGTGTTGTTGTTAAGTGCCTTCAAGTCAGTTCTGACTCATAGAGACCCTGTATGGGGTTTCCAAAGAGTGCTGGTGATCACAACCTGCTGACCTTGCAGTTCAAACCGACCTTGCAGTTCAGTGCATTAACCCCCAACACCACACCAGGATTCCTCCTGACTCCACATAAGAAGCACAAATGGCCTCAATGATTGGTTTGATATTTTCAGTTGGTTATCCAATAGCATGAAACCTTGCATCAGCTTTCTTGTAAAAACTGGGCTGTTTGAAGTCCTTTCAGTTACTATTTTCTTTTGCCTAATTGTTTCTCTCTTTTTTTGCATTATATGATTGTTTCCCCAAGAATGCACCCCCCACTCACTGACAATGTGTCAAGTACTTTAAAGAAATTGTTGAGAACTCTGTAGACTCACCTATTCCCTAACTTGAGTCCTTGCCAAAGCTGATTATTTCAAATTCAGCCTTTTTCCCAGTCAGCACTCTAAGACTTTAACTAGATTAGTGAAGACTCTTGCTGTGTTGTACAATTCTCCATCTGGTGACATTCATGCCTGTCATCCATCTGATAACATCCAGGGTCCTAACAAAAAAAGGGAAGTGACCTGTCACCCAAGAGCCTTGCGGAAGATAGATTACTCCTTTGTGGTCTACATGAGACCAGCTCACCCTGAAGATGAGCCTACATATAGCAAGGTTATAGCACCAATAGACTAATGGTGACTGACTATGGCTTAAGGATATCTGGGGTACATCCACAGAGATAATGATCAACTAATTTTAAGAAATTTTTTTTATCAAAAGAAGTGACAAGGAATAATTCAAAGCAAGTTTTTTTTACCTAATTTGAACTCATGTCAAAGAAGCAAGAATGACTCCATCTGCATCCATTTCTAAGAATGACTGCATCTTAACCCATATGTAAGTATGATCTGTTAAATTGTTTTCATATGTTCCAGGAAACAGCTGCACCCACAAACAGTTGATGGCTGGCCAATTCTCAGAAAAACATTCCAGTTTCCCCAACTGAAGTAATGTTCACCCAACCACATGCCTGTAGTAGGCCTATCTGAGACAAAACCCCACTTCTGGTATAGTCCACCTTTAGTTTAGTGATCTCTTGTTGACCAATGAGCAAAGTTTTAGCTGTACTTCAGCTGTGTGTGGTCTTTGCCTTCATAAACCTTTATTGCGTCATGCCTTAGCAGAGTGGCTCTTCTTAAGACTTGTTGTCTACCCAACTCAAATTGCTTGGATTCTCAATGAATTCTCTTCATTTACAAGTTTTAAGAGTTTGAGTTTTATTCTTGGACACTTCGAATGTTACTTTGGTAGATGGTCAGCAGAGAGAGAAAGCCACACAATGAGATGATTGACACAATAGTTACAACAATGAGTTCAAACATCCAACAATTGTGAAGATGCAGAAGGACCAGGTAGCATTTTGTTCTGTTATACAGAAGGTCACTGAGTCAGAAGTGACTCGATGGCACTTAACAACAACAGTAGTACCTGGCACAGAGCAAAACTAAATATATATGGATTAAAGGAATTATTGTCACCGAGTTCTGGTGTGGCACTGTGGGTTAATGCGCCAGACTGCAAAGCCGTTTGAACTGCAAGGTCATTAGTTCAAGTTCACCAGCTGCTCCTCGGAAACGCTATACAGAGTCGTTTGAACTGCAAGGTCATTAGTTCAAGTTCACCAGCTGCTCCTCGGAAACGCTATACAGAGTCGTTATGGGTCGGAACTGACTCGACGGCACTTAACAACAATAATGACTTTAAGTGCTCTACTTAAAAAAAAAAAAACTTAGTTTCTTTAATAAAATAAAATTTACATAAGTGTGATGATGATAAAATAATGAATGTAAAAAGTATTTTTAGATTACAAAACAGATTCTAATCTTACTGTATTTCAATTCCAGTTGGCAGGCCCTACTCATCTTTTTCTGTCAAATTCACCTAAATGTTTCACGGCAGCACTGTTCAATAGTAATTTATAATGCAAGTCAATACAAATAAAATGCAATATACGTCCAACAGAAATTTGATGCAAGTCATTAAAATTGTTAGTAGCTACATTTAAAAAACTTATTAAAAAGATGTAATTAATTTTAATATCATATTTATTTCACCTAGTATAAGCCAATGGATCTGCTGTACCACAGTAAGAATAAGTACTCGACCATAAAGTCGGTTTGAACCACAAGATCGGCGGTTCAAACTCCATACATGATCACTATGAGTCAGGACCGATTCCACGGCACTTAACAGCAACAGTATATCCAAAATACTACTTACAAGTTATTTTACATTTTTTTTATTGTGGTCTACATGAGACCACAATAATTTTTGCGCATTTTACCCTTAAAGTAAAATTTTGAGTTAGCTGCATTTGTAGAGCCCAGAAGCCATATGTGTATGTTGGTTAGTGACTCTCGTATTGGGCGGAGCCGCTTGAACGCCTGCTTCAGGTATTGGTGCTTTAGTAAAGACAACTTGTTCCTCATCCAGAGTTACTGAATTCGCAAATTTCTCAAAACCGTCATCTTCGCTATCTCGAAGCCTTATATTAGTTTGCTGTGTGTTTCGTCTCCATACTAGAGGGTAAGCTGCTTGAGAAATTCCATACAGTTTTCTTGTGAAATCCGTCTCACGACGGTTAGTAAATGTCGAGGTAATTCATGAACACCCGAGGGCGGCCGAGTGTCAGGGACAGAAAATGGTCAGTCGAGGGCGCGGCCACGGCGGACTACGATCCGCTTCTAACCGTGTAGGGGAACCACACCGCCCAGCATCGGTCTGCGAGACCCCAGGATGGAGACCCCATGGATCTGGGACTTGGCAGGCCCCGGCTGCGCTCGGCTTTCGGGGGTACTGGAGCCACGACTCGTCCTCCCACGGCCACGACTCGTCCTCCCACGGCCACCCCTCCCCTCCCGCCGTACCACCCCGGCGCCGCCGCCACTGCCACTGCTGCCGCTGAGCCCCGGAAGCGGGCGGGGATTTCCTGTGCCCGCCCCGCGCGCCCGCCCGCGTCCCCGGCGCCGTCTCCACCAGTCGCTGGCTCGGCGGACTTTCGGCTCCGAGACGCGGGCGAAGGGCGGAGGGGAGGGGCAGGTGGCGCCCGGGAGGGAGGCACCGGGCCGCGGGCCAAGCCGACTGGGGGTGAGTGGGGCCGGGCCGGAGGGAGTTGCGGCTGGAGGGAGAGACGCCTGGCTTCCCCGGGGGCAGTGGGTGGGGACCGGGTCACCCATGGGTGCAGGAGGAGGATCGATGCGGCCTCTGGGTCGCTGCCTTCTCCTGGGGTCGGCCCGACTGACATTCTGTCCCCACCCCTCGCCGTGTCCCCGTCCCCACGGCCGCTGTCAGGTCCCTTGGGTTCCCGCTGCTGTCACACCCACACAGGTTGTCCCACTTGTTATTGCCCCAGTTCGCTGGAAACCTGTTTTCTGGTCTCACTTCCCCTGTACCAGTTTGCCCCACTCGGATTCTTGAAATATGAGCCCCTTCAGGGGCACTGTGACAAGAAGCTGGGAGAAGCAACCTTACCCAGGAGGTGGATCCTGCCCCGCCCATGTCCCAAGCCTGGGCAGGGTTCAGAGAGCTCTGACAGAGCAGAACAAGTGCCTGTGCCCTTGGGCTCCTCATTTCCATGTTAGCGCCCTTTCCCTGTCCAGCAGCACTTGCTGCAAAAGCTTCCTTCTGCTGGTGCCTTGTTACCCAGCTATGTGAGAGAAATCCTAGAACCCAGACCCTAGGGGGCATGGGATCTCCTGGAAGCTGGAGAAACCAGATTAGAGCTCCCATTATAACTGCCCAGGGTGTTACTGCTCTGCACGATGAACATCCTAGGAAAAGCAGCCTGAAGATAGGAACCCATCCCATACTTTGATGATCTTTTGCCAGCACTTCTACAGGTTGTCTGTCAACAGCTGGCCCATGGGCTCTAAGAGATTCCCATCAAGGGGCTCTGCTATTGGGAAAGATGGAGAAATGGCTTTGAGACTGGCTATTTAGCCAGAAGTTTTGTTCTGTTATACCTGGGTCACTATGAGTTGGAACCAACTCCATAACAGCTAATGACAAACAACAGCAACAACAAAGTCCTTAAAGGGAATTTGCAAAGGGAACTAGAGAACAAGGAAGACCTTGGATAAAGAGGGCGAATTAGTGGTGTTCTATATGGCAAAAATGAGGAGTATGCAGTAGATGGAATTCAGTAAAGCCCCTTAAAGAGTAATGAAATGGAAAATTTCCTCTACTGATTTATCAGTTTTCCTGTCTCATGAATGTATCTGAAATGGAGACTTTTCCTAAACTGGGAATCAGTCCAGGATGCTTCCCCAAGGCCCTGATATGTTTCTGGACTTCTGAAATGAAAGGGGAATTTGTTCTTTCTTCGGGGTTCTTGCAAATGTTATTGGATAAATGTCTTTTCAGGAGCGGACCAGAAGAGTTACCAAGGTTCTGATTTGTTCTTGGAAGCTTTCCCTGGCTCTGTTTGGGTATTGAATAAGAATTACAGAAATAATATGATGTTGCCAGGCAAGAAGGAATTTTGTACAGTCGCATAGACTATTTCTCTGTTGTAAGGTCCCTATCACAACATAAGTAGTACCTGTCCTATTCTTAAATTGTCCCGGGAAAAGAAGAGCTCATAATCTGGCCCTGTACCTTGCAGGATTGCTGTTAAGAAACATTTTTCTAATTTGGCTAAATCTTTTTTCTTACAATCAAATCAAATCCCATTTCTTCCGTTTGATCCAGATTAAATATAGAAAACATCTCTTTTTATTCATCGGTAGTATCATTCATCAATCTTATTTAGGCAAGATAAAATTATGCCCATCGTTTGTTAACTTTTCCCCAATGGCCGGGTTTCCCATCCCTTTCTTCACTTGTGTTTCTTCCTCTGAACACACTCTAGCTTCTCCACACCCTTTAAAATTAAAGATTGTTTTCTAATGAGCTCTGACTCATGCCTGCCAAATAGGTTTGTTCCTGCATCTCAAATCACAGGGTCGCTAATTCACCCCAAGTAATTTTAGCCCCTTTACCTCTTTTTTCCACCTCAGGTTCAAACCCTTTGTGTTCTTTCTTGCTTTTCCCTAATAAACATCATCTCCGCAATGATCAACAATTTCTCTATTAGAGTTGTTTTGGAGTCTTCTATCCACTTTCCAAAATACTGGTCTTCCTATCATATTTACTACCAGTTCTCTCTACATCAGAGACAAATGATGTATCTGTTTAAGATTTGCCCTACATGAAGTACCATTTGATTTTGCCTCATAAAAGAGATACATATTCATTACATGCATAATCCTCTGGTACTTCTACCCATGGTGGTGGTGTGCTGTGGAGTTGGTTATGACTCATAGCGATCCTGCATAGGGTTTCTGGGGCTGTAAGTCTTTACTGGAGCAGAAAGTGTCATCTTTCTCCCATTGAACTGCTGGTAGTTTCAAAAACTGCTGACCTTGAGGTTAGCAGCCTGGCTCATAACCACTAACGCTACCAGAGCTCCTACTTGTACCTAAAGTAATAATTTAATTCTAAGCTAATTGATGCAAATGTGATTTGTGACAGAAAATCTATGTGCAAGGACATCAGTTTTGATTTAGTACAGATCTGTATGCTTTCCTTCCAATATGTTTCCAGATTGGCAACTTTCCTGTCTTTTCACTTGTTGAAATTAAATGGATAAGTTATTTCATTTTTGTTTGTTTGTTTCCAGAATTGTTCTTTTTCTTTCTTTCTTTTTATGAACTGAACTTCTTCCAGTCTTCAAGGATACTCTGTTTCTACCACAAGGAACTCAAAACAACAGTGACTTTGCTGTTTAGCACCTGTAAACTTCTTAGTTCTCCCAAGAAGCCTGGTATCAGGCTAAGTTGATTAGAGCACATCAAGCTTGTAAATTTCATCTTCCATCAAGCTTCATCTAGCGTCATCGTTTATCCCTGGAGCTGTGACTATCATCCCTTTCTATTTTCATGGGAACAGCTAATTATGACTTTGTTCCAGGTCACAATTTGGGTTTGCTGCCAAAATGCTTTCAGAACAGACAACAGCCCTGGGGGCCAGATGGGAGTCAATGAATGTCCAGCTGAATGGAACCGAGCCTCGGGTGGAAAGGAGGAGCCAGGAAGAGGGACCGTGGAGAACAGCGCCAGGGCCACTGGAACACCTGTGCTGTGACCTCGAAGAGGAGACGCAGTCTCTTCAGGAGAAGGGTAAGAGCCCACAGGGTATGGTGGGAAGCACCATACAGAGTAGTTTCCTAATCTCTGTTCAAAATGTAGCATTAAAAATCTCCACATTGAGATGGACCAAATAATATAACCAATGGCCAGTCAGTTCTTTCTGGCCCCTGGTCACAGGAACTGAAGATTTCCTGAAACTCTCTGCTCCTATCATAATTACTCCCTCCATTATTGGTCAGTTGCAAAGGTGAGTGGGTAGTGAATGTGGAAGAGGGAGTGACAGCAACACTGATTATTGTTGGAGAACATACCCAGTCAAATGCACTTCACTAGATGAAAGTTACATTCAAATACTGTAACTTCAAGCCATAAGTAGCCAGTAGAGATGAGTGAGATAAAAACTACTAAATACCCTTAGAGAACATTTTGAGTGGCACCCTCTTCATTTATACAGATCTGCCTTTACCAACTGGCATAGGTACAAAAGAGAAAATGGGAACTTAAACCCCTCTAAAATGGGGTCCCAGTTCTCACTGAGAAAGTGTGGATGGTTCTCTAATGGCTCCTCTCTCCCTCACCAGCTCAGGCAGCTCCTTGGGTTCCTGCCATTCCCCAGGAGGGGAGCACCGGAGACTGGGAGATGGCAGCTGCACTGCTAGCAGCTGGATCACAGGTGGGCTGTGCTTCCCTCGGCCTCTCTTGGGGCCTCATCACTGCTGCCTGTATATACCTTAGAATCATTCCATTCACTTGTTGTTTCACACGATCACTAATAGTATGCTCATCTAATAACGGAGCAGAGTCTACCCCAGCCTTGGGCAAAAAACTCTTGGAAAGGAGAATGGAAGCATAACAAGAGGGTAATTCCTGGAGAATTAAGGTTTCTTTATAGATGGCTGTGCTATCCACACTGGGATTTTCAGAACGTTAATCCCTTTTAAAATCTAGAAAGCTTAGAAAAAGGAGACCTGCAGGGGGCAGGATTGGGTAGATGAAGGAGCATTTAGAGGAGAGAAGAAAAGAAAGAAAGATATGAAGAGGAACATAGCTAGAGGTGGGGAATTGTGTTAGAGTCCGAAGGCAATAGGGAAATATGGGAAGATGATGATGATAGCTACACTCCCAGAGTACGTAGCATGTGTGCTGTTCTCTAAGTGCTTTACATATACTATTTTATTCAACCCTGAGAACAACATGATTATCTCCATTTTACATATGAGGCAACTGGGGCTGGAAAAGATTAAGGCATGTGTGTACATTCATACTGCTAGTAAATGGCAGGTCTTGGAATTATTTGGCTCCAAAATCCGGGTGCCTATCCACCATACTATGCTGCCTTAAAAAATAATGATATGGCATGATAATGGAGGCAAGAAAGACTATTTGATCTCTATCATTTTGTGCTGACAGAAAGGGAAAGGTCGCATAGAGGGAATGGTATAGAACTTCTACAATAAAAAGAATAAGCCAGGGGTGGAGAGACTGGGCCGACACCTATAGGTAAACAGAGGTAGCTGTGAATTAGTGGAGACTCTAACTGCTCATGGTCCTACATAGGAAACTCTAGAGACATGACTTTCACTCACACCCTGACGATCTACCTTGACCCCTCTCTTCATTTCCCCTTTACCAAAGCTAAGTGCCCTACCCAGGGACTGCTGGGTAATTACTTCCTTTCCTAGATCCTCTCCTGCCCTATCTCCTCTACTACCTCCGCCTTTTATACTGAGGTCACATTTTCCTTAGGGAACAGCTGCTGACAGAAGATGCCACATTCTGTTTCAGGGCCTGGTAACCATTAAGGATGTGTCGCTGTGCTTCTCTCAGGAGGAGTGGCGGAGCCTGGACCCCTCTCAGACAGACTTTTATGGAGAATATGTCATGCAGGAAAACTGTGGGATAGTGGTTTCTCTGAGTAAGCATGACCTTCCCCAGCCACTAAAAGATTGTACTCTGGGAGGATGGAGCCATCTGCTCCAGGGCTGATGGGTAGTGTCTGTCTAGGGTTCATTCCTTGGCAGGAAATCTAGGCTCACATCAGAGAAAGAATATTGGGGCTAATCCAAAAAAGAGTGGAACTGAGGTATCTTTAACAACAACAACAACAAAAAAAAACTGCAAATTATTTCTGAATTGTAGAGGGAGAACTTTAGGCTATTCTTGGTTGGGAATTGGGAGGGTCTTATGAAGCAGAGAAAGGGCCATCTGATAGATGGTATTGGGTCCTTGGAAATTCAGGAAACATCTAGAGGGAGATAGAAGTACAGGGGGAAAGGAATAGCTATAGTGGGACTCATTAAGTGAAGTTACGACCAGAATGAAAAGTTAGGCCAGAGGATTTGAATGCAAGAGGACAGACTCATTGGGGAGTGAAACATGATTTTCTAGGGAAGAAAAGAGGGGAGGGGGAGAAAAAGAGGGGAGGGAGACAGAAAAAGAAAAAGGCCTGTATTTGTTCCTCTCTATCAGAGCTCCAAGGAATAATATAGGAAACAGCTTTTTTTGTTTCCAGAAATACCAAATTACTCTTGAACTAACCAACATCTCCATCTTCCTTTCCCATGGGCAGGATTCCCCATTCCCAAGCTGGACATGCTTACTCAACTAGAAAATGGGGAAGAACAGTGGGTCCCTGACCCCCACGACTTGGAGGACAGGGATATCCTGAGGGTCACATATACAGGTGAGGACCTAGAATCAAGTTCCAACCACTACCTTCACCCTTCTCAGGGTGTCATTACTATGTGTCCCCTAGCCCCTCAGCAGCCTCAGAGAGTTAACAGAGTTGAGAAGTTTAGAGGTCATTTTCCTTGAGAGCAAAGTGGTGTAGCAGAATGGTGTAGAGGGCAGGGTCTGGATTTGAATCTTGCACCATAGGTGTAGAACCTTAGAAAGTAATTAACCTCTGTTGTGTCTCTTACTTTGTAAATTATTGTGGGAAGCAAGTATATTAGCATATTAGAACAACAGAACAGTCCCAAGCACAAAATAAGCTTTCAGTAAATGGTGGTGGTGGTGGTGGGTGTTCAGCCACCTACCCACTATGGAAATTCCTTCTGTAGGGTGGTCTCTAGTACATTTGACAGGTGGTCACTATGAAGAGATGATCACAGCATATTTCTTAATTCTTTTCATAACTCAGGTATGTGATGACTAGTGAAGAAATAAAGAAATAACAATAGCATGTACCATTTATTAACTACATACTAAGTCAGCAGTTCAAACCCACCAGCCATTTTGGAAACCCTATGTAGGATCCATTGAGTCAGAACCGACTCAATGGCACAAAACAACAACAACATGTAGTATATAGGAGACCTGATATGGCACTGTAGGATAAGCACCCGACTGCTAATCACAAGGTTGGCAGTTCAAACCCAGTTGGAAACCCAATAAAGGGTCACTAAGAGTCAGAATCAGCTACAAGGCAGTAAGTAAAAGCATACCTCTGAGGTACTGCAAGTTTGGTTCCAGATCACGATAAAAAAGCTATTCTTGCAATAAAGTGAATCACACAAAAGTTTTTGGTTTCCCAGTACATCTAAGAGTTATGTTTATACTATTCTGTAGTCTATTAAGTGTGTAATACAATTATGGAAATGTTTAAAATACCGTGAGAATTGCCCAAATGTGGCACCCAGACACAAAGTGAGCGCATGCTGCTGGGGAAATGGAGCCAATAGACTTATTCGACACAGGGTTGCTGCAAATGTTCAATTTGTAAAAGATGTACTATCCGTAAAGTACAATAAAGCAAAGTATAATAAAATGAGATATGCCTGTACTGTGTTATCTGTCTTATAACAACCTTGAGAGAGAAGTATTATTCTCATTTTTCAAAAGAAAAAAAAAAAAAAAGAGAGAGAGAGAGAGCTGAGATTCCAACTTGGGTAAACTGCCTCCTAAATTGAGGCTCTTCACCTCTACAGCAGTTGCACTGTCTTATACCTCTGCTCTCTTGGCCCTTCAGGGTGAGGCTTTGTCCCTGCAGGCACCATGCAGAGCTCTAGAGGACTCTCTTGTGACTCCCCTATTGGGGTTGGTATTTTCCCTTTTCCACAGGAGATGCAAGTGAGCATGAGGGAGATACCCCTGAACTGGAAGCTGAACCTCCCAGAATGGTATCCAGTGTGTCTGAAGATACTGTTCTCTGGAATCCAGAACAGGATGAGAGCTGGGATTCCATGGCCAGGAGCCCCAGAGGAATGTTCCTGGGCCCACCTTTTCCTCAGGAGGATAGTTTCTCCAACCTTCTGTGTAACACAGAGATGGATTCCCTTTTAAGACCCCACACATGCCCTCAGTGTGGGAAACAGTTTGTGTGGGGCTCCCACCTTGCCAGACACCAGCAAACCCACACTGGGGAGAGGCCCTACAGCTGCCTCAAGTGTGAGAAGAGCTTCGGGCGAAGACATCATCTGGTTCGGCACCAGAAAACCCACCTACATGACAAGCCCAGCCGGTGCTCTGAGTGTGGCAAGAATTTCCGGTGCAATTCCCACCTGGCCAGCCATCAGAGAGTGCATGTGGAAGGCAAATCCTACAAGGCTCCAGAGTTTGGGGAGAGCCGTGGTGTCAGGAAACGACAGCGCACCCCACCAGTGCCAAAATGCCATGTGTGCACTGAGTGTGGGAAAAGTTTTGGCCGAAGGCACCACCTGGTAAGACACTGGCTGACCCACACTGGGGAGAAACCCTTCCAGTGCCCACGCTGTGAAAAGAGTTTTGGCCGCAAACATCACCTGGACAGGCACCTGCTGACCCACCAGGGACAAAGTCCCCGGAATAGCTGGGACACAGGAACACCTATCTTTTGAAATCTTTTTTTTCTCTGCAAATGTGGTTAAACCTATCAGCCGGTGCTACCAGGAGTCTCTGCCAGAGCTGCCTCTCTCCTGCACCCCAGTGACCAGAATCCTAAGCCCTAGCCCTATCTCTAGAAAGATGGGGTTCCAGCATTAAGCAGAGTATTCCTTACCAGTTCTTTGAGACACCACACAAAAACAGGGTTCTCAGGACAAAAACTTTTGGGAAACAATGCACACTACATGGCTGATATTTAGCCGAAAACCATTTTCAAAGGTACGTTGGTTCTAGCAGTTTGTGGCTGAGGTCCATTTTGATTGGTTGGAGCTGTACCATACCAGTTGTTAAATACTTTTGAGTGTCACTTGTATGCTAGATTATATTTTCTCTCTCACAGACACACACACATAGTAGCACAATCTGCATATTAATATATTTAAGGCTTTGAAAACGTTTGCAGGAGAGCACTGTTAAGCCTCTCTTAATGCAGTGTTTCCTAAATTTATTTGGCCTGAGAATCTTTCCTAATTCACATCCCATAGAATTCGTAACTCCATACAAACACACTCTGGTGAACACTGGGTTAGAGAATAATGAGGAAACAGGAGAAAAACGACATAATGATCAGATGCCCAGAGTCCCCTTTATTGATCCAGATGAAAGCTGGGGGACAGAACTCGTGGTTGTATGGGTCAGTTACCTTTACCCCATCATCCATATAGACCTCCACACATCCCACTACCACCTGCTGAAAAGTAAAAGACCTTCTCCACTCCCTAATTCCTACCCACTTCATCCTATGCATACAGATAGCCAGCTGAGAGATCAAGCTACAGTGCTAAGAGATGAATCTCATACACCCTTAAGTAACCCAGGCCCACACAGAAGAAAAATCTTATCCCCTTAAACAGACCACCACCACCACCACCACCCCGCCCTTGACTGTATCTTTTGTGTCTGTGTGTGTCTGTGTGCAGGGTCTTTGAAGACCGCATGCTAAGTGCAAACTGTACAAGCTAGATTTTCTGGGGTTTGTGTTGTGGGGATGAGGGTAGTATGGGATTATCTGTTTTGTTTCAATAGAGAAAGTACTCTGAGTGATTAGGGGAGCCCTAGTGGAAAGGACTAAGTGAGGAGTTAAGTTACTCACCATCACTGGAGTTCAAGACTGTGGATACTTCTGTCCGGGCTACAGATTGTTTTGGGTGGGGAGGGGACGGAGAGATTCTCAGTGCAGTGATCTGTTTCTTGTTGATTTTCAGCAAGCTTTGTGCTGAGCGGGCAGTTAGTACAGAGATCACAGTGCTTGCAAATTGTTGTCCTGACTCTTGTTCCTCTTCCACTGCCTAGTTCAGGGGCAGAATTATTCTTGGAGATCCAGTTCTCCCAGAAACAGAACTTGTGGGGAAATGATTGTGGCTTAGCTTTGAGTTGATGCAGAGCACTAAGCTTCCCATTTGGTTTTTCTCCCAGTTTTGGAAAGGTGTTCACACTAAGGCTCGTAACTCCAGGATTCACATAAGCATTCGAGCATCTGTTAGTTGACAAGTTGGTTAATGTTTCTCTTTACTGATGACTGTGTTAGTGCCGCTCTTTTAACTTAAAACCTGTAGTGAAGAACAGTTTGGGGGAAGGAGGAGGGAAAAGAACAAAAAGGACTGAAAATGGGATGTTTTCTCTAATGCTTAGATTCTGGTTTTTCCCTAAGACACTTATTTCTCAATCACAATTGGTGGAATTAACCAAAGAGATAAGAGGAAGTGAGTTGCAACCATCTTTTTTAATGACCACCCCATGTCCCATCTGCATAGGAAAAAAAGATAAATCACAGTTCCTCAGAGTCCTGAACTCAAATGGAGCTGAAAGTAGGGTCATTTTTCCGACTCAGAAGTAGATGTGACTTGATCACCCCCGCCTCACTTCCCATATGCTGCTCAGAGCATCTCCCATCTTTGCCTGGAATGTTCTTTCTTCACATATATTCATATAAATAGAGAAAAATGACCAACAGAATGGCAGACATTGCCCTAGGTTCTCAGAGCAGGAATATTTTTAGGATCAGTCTTAGGAGATACACCAGAAAATAGCCAAGTTTTGGGTGGAATGTGCCATTTCTTAAACTCTCTACCATGCCCTCAATCTTCAGTATCTATCAGCAGTAGTTCAGAACCTTTTTGGGATCGTAGTCCAAAAAAATTTTTTTAATCTGATAAAAACCAGAAATTTACTTTTGAGGAAACGATGAACATTTTCCAAAACAATTCACCCAGTTTTACATACACATTTAGGTGATTCAGAGCCCATGAAATTACTTGACTGGGGCAAAGACAGGAAGTTACCTTGACTAAATATGGTCACTACATATTTGTGTCAAGATTCACAGGGCAAGGATCAATAATTATTATAAAGTGTAAGATACCAGAAGATGAGGATAGGGTTTAGTCTTCAGTGACTCTATGTTTTAAAAAGATTGAACATGCTTGAGAAATCGAGTTTCTCACCGGTCTTGCTTTAAGGACTTGTGGAAGGTGGCATGCTTTACTATCAGAAGAGCACTGTATGGGATTCTTCTGGACCAGAGGCTTGATTGACATCATGCCTCTTACTTGCCACATGCTATTAGTCTCCAGCCTTTAAAGCCCAAAGCACAAGTGCAGTTATAACACCCAACTGAAAGACCTCATGGAGTCTAAGAACCTTCTGCATCAGGGGCAACCCTTTGGGTCATTTCCAGTGTACTGTTCTCTTCTCTACCTCGGTCCAACACCACCTCCCCTTGGACAAAAAATAAAGCAACAGCCATCATAGATTTGAGTGATTTTTTCCTACTGGGACTCAGCCTCAAAAATCTCATCTAATTACCTTTACCACATGTCCTCTCTACCCATTTAAATAAAAAGTGTCTCTGTGTTCTCTTTGGAGAAAATATAAGACAGGGAAGTTCGTCTTTAGGAACCTGTCTCCTTTTTCCCTCTAGTACCTCTGCTCCCTTCAGGGCCTGAGTATCCTTCCCTTTCCAGCCCATCAACGTATCACTGAAAAGAATCCTTTATTTAGGAGAATGTAGCCCAAAGTGTTTACTTGCCCTAAGTGTGGCAATGCAGGATAAGCACTGGACTGCTAAACAAAAGATCGGTGGTTCAAATTCACCAGTCACTTCTCAGAAACCCTACACAGAGTTGCTGAGTTGGAACCAACTTGATGGTACTTAACAACAACAACATTCATATTTTAAGCCTTAATTCTGCCTCTGAATGGAGTCCTGGTATGGCACTATAGGATAAGCACAGGACTGCAAGATCAGGTTGAACTGCAAGGTCAGTGGTTCAAGCCCACCAGCCACTCCTTGGAAATACTATACAGGGTCGCTGTGAGCCAGAACCGACTTGATGGCACTTAACAACAGCATGACTTCAAATAAGTAGCCTTGGTGGTGTAGTGGATTACTAGTTGGACTGCAAACTGCAAGGTCAGCAGTTTGAGTCCACCAGCTGCTCCATGAGAGAAAGATGAGGTTTTCTGCTCCCGTAAAGGTTTATACAGGGTCGCTATGAGTCAGATATGATTCAACGGTATGTAACCACCAACCATCATCAAGCCCTCGAATGAAGTTGGCAGTGGTGGTTTCAATGGTAGAATTTTCACCTTCCATGCCGGAGACATGGTCAAGGCACTGTCTTCCATGCCGGAGACATGCACAGCCACCACCATTCTATCAGTGGACACTTGTGTGTTGCTCTGACTCTGAGGTTTCAGTTGAGCTTCCAGACTAAGATGGACCAGGAAGACAGAAGGGCAATATACTTCATAAAAAGCTGTCCATGAAAACCCTATGGAACACAATGATTCCATCCTGTTGTACATGGGGTCATCATGCATCAGAGGTGACTACAAGGCAACTGACAACATCATGCTGTAAAAATAGCAAAGGGCTGATAGATGATATCCCTTTCTTTCTAGCACTCCTGTAAGGTGATTTGATGAGTAGAGTACTGATTACGAGACAAGTTGCTAACCTCACAGACAAGTTGCTAACCTCACAGTCAGCAGTTTGAAACTACCAGACATTCCCCAGAAGAAAGGTTTTCTGCTCCCATTAAGACAGTCTTGGAAATCCTATACAGGGTCTCTGTGGGTCAGAACCAGTTCCATGACACATAACTACCACACCACCTACTATCATCTGAGGGTCTGGAAGGCAGGTTCTTCCCATTGCTGTTTAGATGAGAGCACTAGGTGGCGATAGGGCTGGACAACAACATAAAAGTGAAATCTCTTCCCCATGATCTCTTAAAGATCCTTAGCAGGCAAAATTTCCCTATTTCCCAGAATATGCTATGCTAGGCAGCATCTCTTGAAAATGTGTCAGAAATTTTTTTTTAAAAGTCTCAGACCCTACCACAGACCTACTGGATTAGAAATGGGATGGAAGCCAAAAGTCACTTTTAACACACTTTGCAGAATATCTGCTACATGATTAAATTTGAGGACCACTGACTTGGGAATGCAAATTCTACTTAAAGTGGTGATCTCTCACCCTCCTTAAATGAATATGGGGAGGGATCTTCATGCTCCTTTTATGAGGTTTATTTTCTGTAACCTTGCTAGGCTTGTTACTCCTCAGTTCTGCTCCCCTTCCAGTCTCAAGGTCTTTTCCAACATTTCAGTCAGTGAAAGGACTGGGATAAGTCACCAATTTTATAAACTAAGTTTTCTTGATTAGGGCTGGGTCTACCAAAATGGGTCCAGAAATCTGAAAAAACAGAACAAATGCTCAAAAGAACGAAAATGTAAAGCTGGCATCTGAGGAACTAACCCTCCCTTACTAGTTATCTGATCGTTTGACAGGTCTTTTAATAAGTTGCCCTGACAATGGGGAGACATATATAAAACCCTGCAAGAAAAAAATTGCCAACCAAGAATCCTTTATCCAGCAAAGCTATCAATCAAATATGATGGTGTTATCAAAACATTCCAGGATAGACAGAAGCTATGGGATTTTACCAAAGCCAACCCTGCACTACAAAACATCCTAAAGGGAGTTCTGTGGACTGAGAACCAACAAGAACAGACAAAATT